AAATGAATATTTATAGATGACAGTTGATTACAATAGTTCAGTTTATTCCCCTCATCATTAATAGTTTCCCCTGTGGGATAAATAAAGTTAATAGTCCTATATTAATAATACGTATTAGCATTGTTATATACTGTATGATCCCTTTTATAGTATTATGCATAAATCAAAAACCAACAAGATTTTTTTTTCACCATGTTTCCAGTTTTCTGCCTCAGGTCCAAAAGAGATGTAAAGAATATACAAACTGAAAACACTAAATACTTTGATCTATTTTCATTAGTTATTTTCAAAAGGGAAATACTGACATGGATGTTTACAGAGCAGAGGTCACCTTTTTAATTCCAGTTGGAGGGATAGGCATTTGTTTGTCTTTATTATTATTATTATTATTATTATTATTATTATTATTTTGTGCTGTATTAGTGGTTACTGAGTTATTTCTGTTTCTAAAGGCAGCAATAAATAACACTTTATTATCTAAGGTGTCCATGTGAATTTATAAAATAATAATTTTGTGAAATGAATAAATGCATAATAATCGTCATAATCGTGAAATCGTGATTATTCCTCAGACAATAATCGTACCAACAAAATCTATAATCGTTGTATCCCTAGACAGAAATATATATATATATTGCTGCTGTAGAACTGCATACATTTTTAAAACTATGTGCAAACGATGCATTGCCACGGCCAAATAAAATAATAATAAAGAAAAGAAAAAAAAAACTGTGTGAGGTTGGTAGCTAGCTAGTTGAAAATACTGCATCACAACATACATCTATGCTGCCTTCAAAAATCGATCGGATGAAGGCATCTCAGGAGACAGAAAGTGAAGCTGGCATTAGATTCGGACGTGCCTTCGTGCCTTTCCAACTTGAAATGTGTCCTCCGAAGGCTGCATTTTCCAGTTTTTGGTTGCAGCCATATTGTCAACTATGGTTTCAGACACCACCTCCGAACACATAACCCTCAAATAGTGCACTATAAAAGAACATAGGTGGCCATTTCAGACACAGTCACACATATCGCCCCCTACTACCGCAATAATGCAAGTGAACAAATCTGAATCAGTGATTGAATCGGAGTCTGTTTGGATAATCGATTATTTGAAATCCCCACATTTATTCACATATTGTTTATGGGTTGTGAGCTTTTATATCAATTATTGCATATAAAAAATAGTTACAGTCAAGTGTGTTTTTTTCTGAAAATATGCTAATATCCAACTAACTAATACTAGGTGACTGTTCAGAACAGCAGAAAGGGAAGAACACTGCCACACTTCGGTCATCGGCCAGGCCATCTTCTCCTAGTCTTTGTGATTCAACTTGCATGAGAAGGATCACTTTCAAGACTTTTAACATTGAGGTGAAAACACGGGAAACTGTGATGTTTTTATGGTTTCAGTACTGAGCACCAGGACTCTATATGTGTAAAGACAAAACAGTACTCTTTTGGGTCGTCATCTCCATGTGAAAAATAAACAAAGAAAAAAAAAAGGAAATAAATTGTACACAACATCTAAGATCAGTCTGAATATGAACAAATCTTCTGGAAGACAACTTTCATGCATGTTCAAGCACAGAACTTTTTGATGAATTTAAAAAAACACCAAATTCAAGTAAAAGGCATTGCTTTAGGTTATACAGTATATACACAATACATTTTTAATATATTATCATGACAATCCTTAACTACATTTGAGATATTAATAAATAACACAAACTAACATTCAAAAGGTAAGATGTTCTAACAGTTATTTGCTTTGCTACTACATATACATCATGGACACTGTTTATAATCTAAAAGGACCTGCTTTTTTTTTATAAGCACTTGATATACACTACCGGTCAAAAGTTTGGGATCAGAACAATTTTTAGTGTTTTTTTACAGGAGTTTCTTATGCTCATCAAGGCAGCATTTATTTGATCAAAGATACAGGGAAACATTATTATGATGTAAAATAACATTTTTCTATTTTAATATACATTAAAATCTAATTTATCCCTGTGATGCAAAGCTGAATTTTCAGCATCATTACTCCAGTCTTCAGTGTCACATGATATATATTTTTTTAACCTGTGATACTTTTCTTCAGGATTCTTTGATGAATAAAAAGTTAAAATGAAGAGCATTTATTTTAAAATAGAAATCTTTTCAAACAATATAAATTACAGTTTAAAAGTAAAACTTTTATTCAGCAAGGATGTGTTCAATTATTAAGAAGTGATAGCAAAGATTTATATTGTTAGAAAACATTTATATTTTGAATAAATTATGTTCTTTTTAACTTTTTATTAATCAAAGAATCCTGAAAAAAGTATCGGTTTCCAGCACAACTGTTGCCAACATTGATCATTCTAATAGTAAATCTGCATATTAGAATGACTTCTTAAGGACCATGTGACTCTTCTTTATACTGGAGTAATGGCTGATGGAAATTCAGCTTTGCATCACAGAAATAAATTATATTTTAAAGGATATTAAAATAGAAACCATTATTTTATATTGTAATAACATTTTGCAAGATTACTGTTTTTTCCTGTATTTTTGATCAAATAAATACAGCCTTGATGAGCATAAGAGACTTCTTTAAAAAACACTGCAAGTCTTACTGATCCCAAACTTTTGACCGGTAGTGTATATCTTTTCGTCTCTCTACAAGTGATGTGTTTGTGTTCCTGTTTATATTGGACGAGGGAACACAAGTTATTTTGTTTGTCCCTTCCAGAGTGTCAGAGTGGATGGTCTGGTTTGGGAGGTACAGTGTGGTGGTAGAAGTGGAGGGTTAATTCTCATTATGCCATCAGGCACCACTCCTACTGACAAACCTTGAACTTAACGGCTACTTGCCCGAAGGGAGGGCAGTAAACGTTGAGCACTGAGGTGGCAAATGAACGTCCCTCCACATGAGCAAAGAACGCCAGCTGGACGATAAATCAGAAAGTTCTTCACAGTTGTGCGACTGTTTTTAATAAATCTGCAAAAATGTCAACAATTCTGTGTTTTTCTGTCAATATGGGGTGCTGTGTGTACATTAATGAGGGAAAAAAATTAACTTAAATGATTTTAGCAAATGGCTGCAATATAACAAAGAGTGAAAAATTTAAGGGGGTCTGAATACTTTCCGTACCCACTGTATATCGGTCGACCACTAGTTGTGGGCACAGTTTTGTTTTTGAGACAAATTACCTTTGCAGCAAATCTTGACTAATGACTCTTAACTTTATGATAACTTTTTCTTAACTAAATAACTTGAATGATTAAAAAATATTAACTTTAAATATTACGTTTAAAGGGCCCTGCAAAAATGGCCACTGGTAAAATATCTGCTATAATAAAATGAAATATTTCCTATTTATATATTGCTAGCAAAACATTTTATTTTGTGACAAAACATGGACAGTTCTGTATGGCCATCAATGAAGAAAGTTATGGTATCTATCAGCACTGGCTAATGGGGTTATGCAATTTTTTTTTATAAAATTAAAAACAAAATGTCTTAACCTTTGACTGTGAAATATGTTTAAAAAAAAAAATTTAATTCTGCCGATATTACTTACAGTTTAATTATCACATGGAAATGGAACTGAGTGCATTATATTTTGGGATACAGTATTTTACACAGGGCATTTTGTTGGCAAATCTGGGCCAAATAGTAGGCCATTTGGGTCATTTATGCATATAGAAAATCAGCATTTGGTTCTATTTGTTATACTATTGTTCAAAAGTTTGGGGTTAGAATGTTTTTTTTGGGGGGGGATGCATTGAATTGTTCAAACAAGTCAGTAAAGACATTTATAATGTTACAAAAGATTTCTATGTCAAACAAATGCTGTTTTGAATTTTTTATTCAGAAAAAAGCAGCATGGTTTACACAAAAAAGTATTCAATAGCAATACTGTTTTAAACATTGATAATAATAAGAAGTGTTTCTTGAGCACCAAATCAGCATATTAGAATGATTTCTGAAGGATCATGTGACACTGAAGACTATAATGGTTGCTGAAAATTCGGCTTTTTCATCACAGGAATACATTTTTTAAATATTCTAAAATATATTAAAATAGAAAGCAGTTATTATTTTATTTTTATAATATTACTGATTTTTATTGTATTTTTGATCAAATTAATGCTTTGTTGAGCATAAGAGACTTAAAAACATTAAAACCCGTATCAACCCCTAACCTTTCAACAGTAGTTTATATATTGCAGAAATTATTAGTATGCTATTCCGAACATAGCCAACAAAATAAAAATGTTGCATGACAACACACAGTAACAGCATCTACTATGTATTATTAATAAATGACAGTATATAATCTCAAGGAGCATATGAGCTGGATTCATGAACAGGGGTCACTTTCAGACATGAGAGAATAATAACTGACACTTTTAACTGTCTTTTGCTGTTAATCCATGTTCATACACACACACCGTACAAATCTTAAAATAGAGTATCATGTGTCAGAGGGCCTCTGAAAGGCTTAAAGTCATAAAACAGCTCATCTGAATACAACTAACATCACAGTGAAACTATAGAGATGGCTGGTCAATTCTAAGGCAATTATGACTGTTTTGATATTCAACTGCTGCTGAAGATGTGTGTGAAACTGAATTAGAGGTGAATGTAATCTCATTATGGCATATCAATTACACTTTGGTTACTTGCCATTTAGCAGATGTTTTTCTCAGCCAAAGCTGCGTAGAGTAGGCTAATTGTAGGGCCAGTCATCCGGGAGCACATGGAGGTTAAGTGTCTTGCTCCAAGGGCATCATGGGAACTCAAGTGACTCTATAATTCACACCTCTAAAAGTGTTCCTTTACAAAGTGTACCATGACATTTAAAATAGACCTGCTATGTCTATTTGAAAATCAAAAACTAATATAGTCTGTGCTGTGATTAAACTAGACTTAGGATTCATTGGATGGAGAGAAACAAACAAGAAATGGAATTTATGGAAGAAAAAAAAAAAAGTAATATTTGCATATTTTACCCAACCTGCTGTCTGGCAGTCTCACTGTCAGGGTCCAAAGAGAGCGGTACTTCTGAGCTTGGCTGCCAATGCTAATGTGGTACACATGTACTAAAATGAAAAAAAGGGAAGAGAAGAAAGAAAGAGATCCCTGTTAATTTGAGTGGAGTAATAGCTTTGTTTTAAAGGAATGTTACAGGTGCAAAACAAGTTAAGCTTCTGTGAAATGCTATCCATCACCACAGACATTCATTTTAACTTGCCCCTAAAGACAAACAATATTTGTGTTTCCAGTAATACATTTACAATAGAAGTCTATAGGGAAGTCGTTCTATCATATTTTTGCACTTTATAGTAGTTATTAGTGTAAGACTAAATCTATTTTTTACATATAGATTTTGTAATACACTATAAAAGCTATAAAATCATTTTTATATTATATGTTTGTAACCTCACATGTATGAGTTACTGGTTTGACTTCCATTGTAAGTGTATTACTGTAAACAACATTTTTGATTGTTTTTAAGGGATGGTTTTTACTGTAACTGAAAGCATGCCAGATTATTTCAATAGAATGTAATTTGCAATGAAAATTATAAATACTGTATAAAACTGCAATATTTCTGTTAACCTAACACTAAGAATGTGAATTCCTAAATGTTTTAATTTGAATGTCACAAAATCCGTGCATGTGATAAAAGCCTCACACATCAAAAGTGACATCACACATCATACTGCTAATATTCTGCACTCTAATGGAAAGACCATTATGAAATATTAATCTACGCACTGAGATAAAACACAGCTCTTGTGCCACAATAGAAGAGACAAGTGCTCAATCATCCGGACAACCTAGAGGCATTAAGAATAGTTTGATACGGAGCCCAATGCATGTTACAGTGTTTACATGCTACCCGTTTACTGGCCTTGCACTCAGCATTGCTATTGATCGCCTCCTGTCAAACCTCTAGTGACCTTCTCAGCTACCTTAACAGACCAGTCACTGCTGACAGCCTGGCCATCACTATCCCACACAGACATGCAAGCTCAGCTGCACAGAGCAGCATCAAAGCAGAACGACTAGCGAAAGTGCTGGCTTATGTGCCATTGGATGATAAGAATTGGTTCAGGGAATCACTGCGTTATGAAGAATTTGTCTTTTAGTGAGGGCATGAAATGGAAGTTCATATATGCACTGTATAGTGCATCCAAAACCCAAAACATTCCTAAATACTAAAAAATTATTTTCGTAAAATAAAATAATAAAACAAAACATTTATTTTGGTAACACTTTAGATTAGGGAACACATATTCATTAAGAGTCAATCAATCTACATATAAAATATTGGTCACAAATTATTTAAATAATACAAGTATAGTGCATCTACTAATAATTAGATATAAATCGGTTTTTACAGATGCAAATATGTTAGAAACGATGCATCGCGATACAAATTCCAACTTGCGGCGCATGGACTATTTTATGGTGTATTTTTGGAGCTTGGTTGTTTCTTCCACCGTATAGATGAGCAGCTTGAACATTTAAAAAAATATCTCCTTTTGTGTTCCATGCAACATAAATAAAAACTGCATGGCATAAAAACTTTTTATATTTTTCGGCGAGCCCATTTGAGTACAATGGGAGTTTCAGACATAAAAAAGCCTACACTATCCCTTTTTTGTTTTTTCACTCTGTCCTTCTTTTGTCAATATCAAGCACACACCTGCCAAGAGAACAAGGGCACATCAATGGCAGGGACAATATACTATAACTTGCTCCTTTGACGCACTGGAATGACCGGCTCTGATGCATTCTTATTGCCGCTATTTCTAGAGGTGACTGATGAGAGCTCTGGTCTCTTGCCATGATTTCACTCCACTCTGCACAAATATAAATGGCAATGGATCAATAGCGCACACAGCTCAGTTACTCTAGACATCACCTTGGCTCCAGCTCGCACACAGCCTTCATTCTTCTCATCAGGTACGAGCAGTGCTGAGAAGACTCCTAAGGGCTGTTAAAGGATGATCATGTTTCAGATGGAGACAGAACCAGTTTCATTAAATTCTTCAGCACGAGGCGGACAATTCATCCTGAGTATCACTCATCAGTTAATAAAGAGGCACAAATGAAACAAAATGCAAAACAATAGTAGTTAAATGCTTTTAGTAATAAGGAGTGGCTAAATAATAACAGTCTCATATTTATTGGTTGACTGTGTTTTTCAGTGGCAGATGTCAATACTAACAACAATATATGTACATAAATAACAATACACATATGTGAGAAGGTGTGTGTGTGTGTAGAGAGAGAGAGACATAAGCAAAATTGTACACATTAAATAGGGCTCTAAAATTGATTAATCGCAATTAATCGATTTTAGAGCCCTATTTAATGCCCACAGTTTTGCTTATGTCTCTCTGCATTAATTGCCTCTCCGCAATTAATCGATAAACTGTTATTCAAAATAACAGTTTGTGTTTACATATATTATATATAAATATAAATAAATATTACATATATTTCTTAAATATATACATGCATGTGTGTAATAATATATACATACATGTGTTGTCTAGCACTACCCATAAAATCATCCCAAGCATTATTTATAGTGATTAAAATAATATAAAATTAATGATTAAAAAAGTACTTTTCACAGTCTGTGAACCTCCATTTCTGAAAATGTGGGGA